GGGTTCAATTGACTGGGATGAAGGATGAGGACGGCGATGGGAGTGAGATCAAAGAAAAGGTGAAGGAAAAAGGAAAAGAAAGCGAAGAATGTTGGCGACGGTGGCTTTGAAGAAAAGGTGGAAGATGTAGAGTTGAGAGAAGAAAAGTGAGTGTAACTGAATAAAAAATGGGTAAGTTAAAATGACATAATTACCCTTTATTTGTTTTGAATTTACATCCTATCCTTCTTCAGTTAACAACTTAAGGGACACCCCAAGATAACGGAAAGTGAAGCAGGTGTGGTGTGGATGTGGCTAAACATTTTGAGTACAATGTGTCTTTACGGCAAAAATATGATTGGGTGAAGGTCGTTCGGCACCTCGTTTTTTTTTTTATAGAAAGGACGAGTCAGGGTGAAACTACAGTAATGGTTGATATAACACATCCCTCTAATGTTTTAAAAATAACAAAAAACCAGAATTAAACCATTAGGTGTAAGTTTTAACGTATATTACAATATAAACAAATAAAAATATACATTTGGTCATATATATTTTTTCATAGCTGTGTAAATTTTTATTGACTCGTTAAGGATTATGAACTCTAATAGCAAGAGTAGGGGTTATTTAAAGTCAGCCAAACATTAAGGGGTGAGAGTTTGGTTCTGGGGGGGAATATTGGATTTACTGGAATTGATAGTACCTTGAAAGATTATTAGGGACATCTTTATAAGAACAATATGTTAGGTTAGTCGTGTGGGTATGTTAGCTATTAATATGTTTGTTAATGAAATTGAGGCGGAATAAATTGGTGGGTTGTTATTTAAAATTACTACATTGCCCCTTTTTTAATATAATATAATCATTATTTTATTATTAATTTTGAATTAAGTTTTAAAGACCACCAATATTGCAGGATGTTTTAGCTCAAGGTCGGACGCTCACACTAATATATAAAACTGTGCGTTATGACTAAAGACACCCCACCCCTGCCGCCCCGCCACAGAAAGCCCCTGTCGGAAAGAGTTCAAGTCAAACGAAGAGTCAGTACGTGAGGTAGCGCCCATACTCCGTGACACCAAATGAGGCTTCTGATATGGGACGTTTCTGGGCCATATGGATAGCCCAAAAACAGCATATAGGCCAGATCTGGCATTATTGCCTAGATCTAGCCACTAAGGGCCAGAGATCTACCTGATATGGTCATTCTCAGCCAAGTATGGCTGGAAAAGGCCATATCGAAGCCCTCCGGAGCCTCCCAATGAATCTCTTTTTTTTTTTTTAGTCATGTTAGGACTCCAGCTTACCGAAGGTGGTCGGGGGTGGCTCGTGTCAACGGTGGTGGGCTGTGATTGTTTTAAATATAAGGGCATTGGTGTTCCAAAAAACTTAATGAACTAAGGGTAAAATTGAAATGGTTCTGTTAAGTAAATTTATTTAAAAAAGGGGCATTATGTCCAAATTTTTATTCTAATGGATTAGAATTGTAATAAAATGAGATTACACGAAGGTAATCTTCAATACCTAAAAAAAATGAAGGTAACTGTAATAAAATTTTGGTACAATACGAATGGGAGGAGAACGGAAGCCAGGGCAGCCCCGGCCCGTTAACGCCAGGTCTGGAGCACCAGACCTGGACAGATAATGGCCAGGGATCTGGCCGGAAATGGCGACCAGGAAATAGATCTGGCCTTTCCGGGCCAGATATGGAGCCCGATATGGCCGTTTTTCGGACATAATATGGCAAAAACGGCCATATCGAAGCCTCCCGAGCATACCACAGATTTCCAGTGTTGTTGGGGGCTCGGCGATTTTCGAAGGGGTTCGCAGTTCGGTGCGCGGCAGGACGGCGCCAGGAGGTGGGGTGATTTATCGTCATGAATTAAAGTTTTTTTTATAAGCGGGGGTTTTTAGCTAAATCTGAAAATATTGGGGGTTAAAAAATAATTCAAAATTTAAATAAAATAATAGTATATTAATATTTTTAAGAGGGTCAATTATAGTAATTAAATAACATACCCACAATTTATTCATTAACAAACATTTCCAATACATACCCACTAAATAACCAAAAATCTTTACTTGTAAAGATTCCAAGAGTAATCTTCAAGGTATCTACTTTCCAGTAATCCAATATTCCCAGGTAATTAAATCTCGAACAAACGCCCCTCCCATTAATAGATCAAGATAAATAACTATTCGATAATGTAAGATTATCAAAATCTTATATACTTGATAATACACCAAGTAATAATTTAAGTAATCTTTCGTTGCCTCAGCCAAACGCCCATGAACGAATTTCTGACTATTATATAATTTCTCTATTATATAATGTCTAGGGGTATTGCCACATAGTAAAGAATTATAAATGTATCATCGGAGTACGTAGAGAAGACTGGTGTGCACTAACAGAAATGATTAGACAAGTACCCGAATCAAGAAATTCCCAATAATTTGCGTTGATAGCAAAATTTCTCTCCACTTCTTCTTTAAAGCTCAATAATGGGTTCAGGTATGTTTCTCTTTCACACACCTGCAATTGTTTATTCTATTTTTAAGGTCCCTTCAATTTTACTGTAACTTACTCTTTGCTTTTCAATTGCAGATGCGGATATGGAGATAGGGTTTGAGTAATCAGATGAGGAGCCCGAGGAACAGGCCGTTGATATCGAGAACATATGACAACTCTAAAGTATTCGATCTGTCAGATTTTTTTTTTTTTTTTTTTGGGAAAGTTACGAATTGCTGGAGCTTTATCGCGTTCTTTCGTTGGGTTTGCTACCAATAGGATAGAGAAGTTAACTGTCTGTTTTTTAAAATAAAATTATTATATTCAGATTTGATCGTTCTATGTTTGAATGTTGAATTTCTTTTTATCTAAGGACGGGAAAAATGTGTTTTGGGGTTTGGAAGGATGTAAGATTCTTTTGCATTGAGAGAAAGGTTTTAGTGTTTTAGGAGAAAGATTTTTTCTTTTTCTTTTTTCAGCAGAAAATTTGTTGCATAGACTGAAACATTGTGGATCCTTTTTAACACCTCTCCAATTTTTTTGGAAAAAATTAATTGGGGTGTGGATATGTGCCATTTATGTGCAATAACAGAAGGATGGGGAATTTGAGGAATAAAGTGCATGTTAGATTGGATGTTTTTGATATAATGTTTTTGCTTTGTGCATTTTTCTTTTCTCTGAACTGGTTGTCGGATTTGAATGGCTTTCAGGTAATTGTGATTGATTAGTTCCTTTGTTTAAGTACTTCTGCCGTAGAAGGTAATGGGCAAGGTGATGATATGACAAACTAGGTGTGGAGACAATATTTTAATAGCATAGTAACAAAAGTGTAAACAGGAAAGAAGGGTTTGGTGGGTCAGATCTTATTATTGATGCAGAAGGGGAAAAACGATGCTGTGAGGGAATGGTGTTACTTTTTGATTTTGAAAGAGTTGAAAACTTTAGGGAAGGCCTTGAGATTGTGTGGGACGACATGTCTTCCTTCAAATAACATAATGCATCAGTGTGACCATTTTGAAGTAGATTTTTTGCGCATGTGGATTTTGCAACCTGTAGGAGTGGGCAGTCTCATGATATGATGAACTATGCGTGGTTAATAGCACAGCAGCAAAAGCTGAAATAGCTTAGGAAAGGGGTCATTGGTTTAGATCTTATTATTGATGCAGAAGGGAGAAAAATGTGTTATGGGAGAATGATGTTACTTTGTGATTTTGAAAGAGTTTTTTATTTTAGGGAAGGCCTTTTTGCTGTGTCTTGAACTCATGCCATATGATAATGAATGCACTATTATTACTATTTTTACGTCTTCTAGATTTTTAGGCTTATCAAGTATAAATGCATTTGTAGGATAATTTGGAGTTTAATTGAAAACTGGGGAAGGATTTTTTTGGGTACACTCCTCATCAACCTAGGTTCTATAATCGAAGGCTCATTCATCTTTCAAAATCATGCCTTACTATGTGTCTTAATTTTGGAGAAATAGATATACCTATTGATACTTAAATAGTCTACTGTTTCTCTTATCTATAAAAGATCACATGTAGCAAGACTAATGCTTTTGTCCGTATTAAATCATTCACTGTTGTAGCTTTTCCATTTGCTGAAATTATTTTCTGTCTTGAGGCAAGTTATGATGTCTTTAGAGCCAAAATTGAAAGACTTGTTAATCCATATATGGCTTTAGGTATTATTATAATATTTTTGGCTTAGTAAAGATATTGATTCTGTTTTTGTATGATGTCATACTTTTACCTTTGAAAATATATTGGAATCTCCTTAATATGGCTTTGTTACTCATTTTAGTCTCTTGGTGTACCTTGTGTTTTATTCATTCTTTCTAAATATTGCATTTCCTTGACTTTGTCCCAGGCTTTTGTGCTTTTACTCCTAGATGCTTCTAGTGATGGAATTATAGTTTTGCAATTTCTTCTAGATTTTTCATTTTCAAGATATAATCTTTCAGAAGACCAATTCTGGATGATCTTATAATAACATTATAATACTACATTACATAAAATTTCAAATTTTTTCATAAATTTATTTTCCTATGGTATGTATTATTACTATCCTGTATATAATTGTTACCCCTTCTTTCATTTCTTTTAGTCTCATTGTGGATGTCTCTTCCACTGGTGTCTGGTGTAAGACATTGTTTTTTCTTTAATAGTTTAATAGTTTCTCAGCAAAAGAATTCCTTATAATTTTTTTCTGTAATGTAAAAATAAATAAAAATGTTGAAATCTATATTTTTCCAAAGTTTAACCTTTAGAAGAATCTGGGCTTGATGCTCTCTCTCTCACACACGCACATACACACTATATAATTTGGCAATGCTCTTGTTATTGCCTTCTTAATTAGTTCTTAAGTAGCATATCATTAGCTATTGCTTCTTTTTAACTGTCTGTCTCACATAGTTTCGGTCAAATGTGAAGGTATTCGATGTTGCCTATCTGCTATCCTGTTTTTCCCTATCTTTCTTTCTTTCTTATGTACTTCACTACTTTATAATATCTTTTCACCCTATTTTTCCATATAGGTCTGGTTGAAACGGATCCAGAAGGGGCACTTGCTGGTTTTGCTGAAGTTGTTGCCATGGAACCTGAAAAGGCTGAATGGTGAGTTTGTGTTTACTACTTAGTGAGGTTAGGACTTTGTTACTTGCTGCAGTAGGACTGATCTCTTATTCTTGTAGTATTGACAAATAAAATAACAGAGGCACCTAGCCATAGAAAAACCAACATGTTGGGGTTTCTGTACACTTGAGAGTAACATATATATGTCATTAGCTCATTTTACATATTAGTTCTTGTTTTCGCACTTTTGTCCATCAATTAAGTTACCTGGTTTTGTCTGGGATAGGCATGGGGCTAGGGGTATTTTATGTCTTATATTTTGTTCTCTTTGTTTTATTTAGTATTTACATATATATTGCCAAAGAATTTAATGCTTAGCTCAGGGCTTTGAGCCTTCTATCTCTAAAATTCAATAATTATGTTTTTCTACTATTTCCAGGGGATTCAAAGCTCTGAAGCAAACTGTGAAGCTCTATTATCGATTAGGGAAGTATAAAGAAATGATGGATGCTTACAGGGAAATGCTTACATATATTAAATCAGCAGTGACACGAAATTACAGTGAAAAATGCATAAACAACATAATGGATTTTGTTTCTGGATCGGCTAGTCAAAATTTTAGTCTCCTGCAAGAATTTTATCAGACCACTCTGAAGGCCCTTGAAGAAGCAAAGAATGAGGTTAGTAAAATGACATATGTTTTAGCATCAGAATGGTGCCTTTGCCAAGATGTAATTTATTCTCTGTTGTTTTGTAGAGACTTTGGTTCAAGACAAATCTTAAGCTTTGCAAGATATGGTTTGATATGGGTGAATATGGGAGAATGAGTAAGGTATCCTTTCTTTAATACCTTCTAGAATTTCCACTTTTATTTTGGAATGTTAATTATGAGAACAATTGTGTATACATCCAGATTTTGAAGGAACTTCATAAATCTTGTCAAAGAGAAGATGGTACAGATGACCAAAAAAAAGGAAGTCAACTTTTGGAGGTCTATGCAATTGAGATTCAAATGTACACTGAGACTAAGAATAACAAGAAACTAAAGGTAAGGTTTTTGCAACGCTTGTTTATGTGCTTTAGAGTCTTTACAAATGCTATTTGCACTTTTCTGTTTGGGTAAAATATTTTCTACTTTATATTGGTGTAACCTTGTATTTTCTCCTTTATAAGATTAAATCCTGATAAAAGATTGTGAATTTTTTAATCCATTTCAATAATTTACCTGTTTGTTTCTATAAAATTAAACAAGTAGCAGAAAGTGATTGAAAAGGGATTTTTAAATCTCAAGTCTTGTGGAATGGATTAAGTTTTTATGCAATGACAAAGACCTGAAAATAGACATTGAGGAATATTGATTTATTAACATCGTCTTCTCTTCTCTCTCTCGTGCTCTCCTTTTTGATATTTTGCTTTAGGTTATGATCCAATATGAATTAATAGATGTTGAAGCAAGGATAAAAGTTACTTGAAATTAAAGTTTTTTGAAGATGCAAGATAACATATGGATTTTCCAGGTCAAATATTTGTGTTATTAACTTAAGAATCCCAAGCTAACCTTTTTAATATGTTACAGGTTTTAAGATTGTCATTCCTTTGATGTAAATTTAAGTATTTCTGATCCGAAGTATCCAAATTTCCTTAATTATATTTTCTTTGAATTATTATGATCCAATATTGTCATTCCTCTGGTGTAAATTTAAAAGTTCCAATGTGAATATCTCTTAACAACAATGTTTGATATTATAACACCCATGTTACATGTGGGCTTGACAAAAGAATGAGCTTCACGTATGAAATAAAAAGTAACTCAAGGAGGACCCACAGTATTGATCAAGTATGGATTGGCCTTGATATTATGGTCGAGAAATGTACCAGAAAGTTATATAAGAGGTGGGAGTGCCTAATAGGTATATGTGGCCTTAGTTAAAATCTGACAACAAATGTGAGACTCCTTAAGATCCTCTCTCATGTGTACGCCTGATGGAAGAATAGTTTTGACATGAGATGGAAAACATGATGAGTGCCATAGTTTCTCTCTAATGATTTAGTTGAAGGCTCAAAACCTATTTTAAGGCACGCGGATTCTTTCTGATCACTGTTTTAAGATTATGTTAGTTTATGGTTTAATTTGCAATTGGGATTGAGCCGTGTTTGATGAAATGGATTAAATGCAGCAATTGTACCAGAAAGCACTTGCTATTAAATCAGCTATTCCCCATCCGAGAATCATGGGAATAATTCGTGAATGTGGTGGGAAGATGCATATGGCTGAACGTCAGTGGGCAGATGCAGCAACTGATTTCTTTGAAGCTTTCAAGAACTATGATGAAGCTGGGAACCAGAGGCGTATACAATGTTTAAAGTACAAATGCTTTCTCTCTTCTCTTTAATTATTCTATTGTAGTTGATAACCATGTTTTATGTCTTTCCTCTCTCTCTCTCTTGGNAAGGATTTATGAACTATAAAGAGATTTTTGTTATTTAAAAAACCTTAAGGGTGTGTTTGGTTCTAGGAATATTGGATTACTGGAATCTTATATTACCTTGAAGATTATAGGGAATCTTTAAGAAAATATGTTTGGTTAGTTGGTGGGTATGTTATATTAATATGTTTGGTTATGGGGAATAAATTGGTGGGTATGTTATTTAAATTACTACATTGCCCTCTTTTTAAATATTAATATAATATTATTTTTATTATTAATTTTTGAATAATTTTTTAACCCCCAATATTTCAGATTTAGCTAAAACACCCCCACTTATATAAAACTTTGCTTTATGACAAAATCACCCCCACCCCTGCCGCCGCCACCAGAAACCACTGTCGGAAGTCTCCGAAAGTCATCGTGAGTAGCTCACCGTGACCACGAGGCTCTGATATGACCGTTTCTGGCCATATTGATAGCCAAAAACAGCCATATCAGGCCAGATCTGGCCATTATTGCCTAGATCTAGCCACTAATGGCCAGAGATCTAGCCTGATATGGTCATTCTCAGCCATTAGTATGGCTGGAAACGGCCATATCGAAGCCTCCCGGAGCCTCCCAATGAATCTCAGTCATTTTTAGGAACTCCAGCTTCCCGACGGTGGTCCGTGGTGGTTGGCTCGTTGTCAACGGTGGTGGTCTGTGATTTGTTTTAAATATAAGGGCATTGTTGTCCAAAAACTTAATTAAATAAGGGTAAAATTGAAATGGTATGTTAATGTAAATTTATTTTAAAACAGGGGCATTATTGTCCAAAATTTTTATTAATAATGGATAGAATTGTAATAAAAATAAGATTACGAAGGTAATCTTCAATACCTAAAAAAATGAAGGTAATTAATAAAAATTTTGTTACAATAGATCTGGCCGCTAACGGCCAGATCCGTGGCCGTTAACGGCCAGGTCTGGTCCAGACCTGGCCGATAATGGCCAGGGATCTGGCCGGAAATGGCCAGAATAGATCTGGCCATTTCCGGCCAGATCTGGCCCGATATGGCCGTTTTCGGCCATCAATATGGCCAAAAACGGCTATAGCGGAGCCTCTTGGTCACGGTGACGTACTCACGGCCACATCGGCGGTGGTCGCGGTGGTTCGCGGGTGGTGGGGGTGAATTATAAATTAAAGTTTTATATAAGCGGGGGTGTTTTAGCTAAATCTGAAATATTGGGGGTTAAAAGAGTTATTCAAAAATTAATAATAAAAATAATTTTATATTAATATTTAAAAGGGGGACAATTTAGTAATTTAAATAGCATACCCACCAATTTATTCCCCATAACCAAACATATTAATATAACATACCCATCAACTAACCAAACATATTTTTCTAAAGATTCCCAGTAATCTTTCAAGGTAATCTATCTTTCCAGTAATTTAATATTCCCAGTAATCTAACATTCCTGAACCAAACGCCCCCATATTGTTTATTGACGGAATTCCATAAAGTAGATTAATACAGTTGATGTTTATAAATAAATATTTTTAAAATCCATATTTTAGTTAATTTAGGGGTCAATAAATGATCGATCTTTACTTAGAAGACATGCTCAATAACAAAACTTTTGATTGGTGGGTTCGGGTTTTGGTTACTATATCCAGGTCTCAAGTTTAAAATAAAAGATCCGATCTTGATGGACATTGATGAAGATTTGATAAGACATTGATATGACGTTAACTGATAAATGATATACTTAATTTTTTATCACTTTTTTAATATATTAAAATGAAAGCTTTTAGAGGTATGATAGTTTGTGTTGGAGTCTCGCATCGATTAGGCACATTCAAGCCTATTGAGTTATAAAAGGGGGTAATTCTCTTATTTAATAAGATCTTATTGGGTGAGGAGTCAGGCTCACCTCAAATTCTAACATGGTATCAGAGCCCAGATTCAGTTGAGTTGATCGCTTGACCAGCGGATGAGGAGTTAGAACATGTAACTATCTCTAATAACAGGCATGACCCAACATATGAGCTTGACCGTGAGGGGAAGTGTTAGAGTCCCACATCGACTAGGCACGAGTTATAAGAGGGGGTAATCCTCTCATTCAACAAGGCCTTATTGGGTGAGGAGTCAGACCCACCTCAAATTCTAACATGGTATGAGGAGTTTGAGCCAACAACTACCTCCATTAACAGACATGACCCGATATATGGGCTTGACCTTGAGGGGGAGTGTTGGAGTCCCGCACCGACTAAGCACGCTCAAGTCTATTGGGTTATAAAAGGGGATAATCCTCCCATACAATAAGGTCTTATTAGGTGAAGAGTCAGACCCATCTTAAATTCTAACAGTTGATGATTCGGAATATGTGGTATTCAAACAAAGAAAGATAAGCCACTATGAAAAAATTTCTTGAATCATAGAATAAACTCGAGTAGAATTCCCGCAATGTCATTGTGTAGCATACTAATCTACATGGAAAAATAAAAATTGTACATGAATTTTAATAAATGCAATCAAACAAATTACATGGCAAATTAATAACGAACACAGGAGGAAAACATTCACAAAAATGTTAATTTTTCTCCATGCATTGGACCCTTTGCTAATGGAAAAATGTAAGCAAAGTGGTTAGATCAATTACAAACCCATGCAATAGCATCTAGAAAAAAATTCTCAAGGACAATGTTGACAAGTAGAAATAAGTTATAAAACATAAAGCACTCACTGAAAACCCAAAAACCCCTTCTTTGAAAATTAGATGTGAATTTTCAAAGCTAATACTAATGTGAACATGATGACAAATTGCAAAGTTAAATGATACCTACAAAACAATAGGAAACTGATTTTCTTTTGGTTTATACATAGCAAATTATTTAATACCTCGACAAAATTACCAACTTATAGTGATGAAGTTGAGAGTTGAAATCTTCTACTGTAGATGATTCAGAAGGTAAAATTCTTACCATTCAAAAAAAAAATAAAAAAAATAAATAAATATGATTCAGAAGGTATAGTGCCAAAAGTAGGAACTTGATTTGCTTTTGGTTTATAAATAGCAAATTCTTTAATACCTCAACAAACTTTACCAATTTATAGTGATGAAGTTGAGTCACTACAATTACAAATGAGTCTCACTAAATTATTATTCTTAAACATGACTATTTTTTAGAAAGCGAATCAGTGTTTTAAAAATGGTTGATTTTTCAAAAATAATTAGGATTTTAAAAATGAATATGTAAGTTATTTAAGGTTCCTCAAATATATTTATGGTTTTAAAAAGGTTTTTTTTTTTTTAAGAAAAAATAATGTTTTAAAATTGGCTATTTTTGCAAAACATATTTAGGCCTTTATAATTGGAAAAATATTTACAGTTTAAAAATGACTACTTTTGCAAAATAATTTAGCATATAAAAATGACCCTTTTTGGAAAAAAAAAAAATAGGGTTTTGAAAATAGATTTTTTTTTTTTTTTTAATATAGAGTTTTGAGAATGGATTTTTTTAAAAGAAATTTAGGGTTAAGAGAATGAATTTTTTAAAAAGAAATTTAGGGTTTCGAGAATAGATTTTTTTAAAGAAATTTAAAGTTTTGAGAATGGATTTTTTTAAAAGAATTTTAGGGTTTCAAGAATGGATTTAAAAAAAAAAGAAATTTAGGGTTTAGAGAATGGATTTTTTTTTTCAAAAAAATTAGTAAAAAATCAATTTTTGAAACCCTAAATTAAAAAAAAAAAAACATTCTTGAAATCCTAATTTAAAAAAAAAAAATCCATTCTCAAAACCCTAAACTAAATTTAAAAAAAAATCAATTCTTGAAACCCTAAATTCAAAAAAAAAAAAAATCCATTCTCGAAACCCAATTTTTTTAAAATCTATTCTCGAAGCCCTAAATTAAAAAAAAATCCATTCTCAAAACCACTGTTTTAAAACCCATCTCGGCCTAGTCTGTTTAATCGGGATTCGAAAGCCTCACTAGGTCGGGTTTACATTTTTCCTATTCACCTAAAACCCTAGAATTTGGAATGATGATCGATAAACAATTAAAGACCGAGATGTTGGGGCTTTTAAAAAGAAAGTGTTGGTGAGTGCAACGGTGGTGACAGAGTTGATTTTTGGTGAGCTAATCGACTGGAAATCGATAAAATCTGGCAGTGGCAACAATCGGCTATTACCAACGGTTGGTGAGGCTAACAGGGGTGGGGTAAGGTGGGTTTTGGTCGAGAGGAAGAGAGGAGTATTTTTAGGGTGATTGGAAGGGTTGTTGATGCCAGCGTTGGTGAGATTTGCCCTAGAATGCCAACATTGACGTTGGTGAGATTTGACCGAAATTGAACCTATTTCAACTAGATCTTGGGTAGATTTTCAGGGGAATTAGGTCAAGGGACGATTGAAGTTGTATTTGGGGTGTTGTTGTCGCCAACCAGTCGCCGATTTGGGGGTGTGTTTTTAAGGAATCAATCTACCGAACGCAGTGGAAAAATAAATTTAAAGGATAGAACAATTACGTATTTACCAAGATCCGGGTATTGATTATATTGTTTACATGCTAAAAACAAAAATTTTGTACAAAATAAAATTATTCCATTCAAGGATTAGAAATCTTACGTTCGTTTGGAGACTTCTTCAAGTGTCTCTCCTTTTATTTCACTACTGATTTAGTTTAAAATTGCACGAATGTTGATCCACACGAAGATAATATGAAAAACTAACCGTTGTTTTGCTAGAACAACAAGATGGCTTTAAGAATCAAGTTTTTCAAAGAATCAAGAAGAGAAAAATATTTCTCTTCAATCAATGAATAGGACTTGACAGAGAGAGTGAGGTAGGTGGTTAGGTTTTTTTTTTTTTTTTTATTGAATAATGTTATATTGTTTTTAATTTAAGTTGCACTTATATAGTGCAACAATTAAAACCCTATTCCAATAAGGAATATCATGTGTTCCAACCCTAATTCACCCTT